AGTGAGGGAAATATAGCAAAAGACTTCAAAGAATGGTGAGGCCATCCACTGAACAAATATTAAAAGCAAAGGAAAGGAGGAAGGTAATGGGGCAAATCAGTGAGAGGGTCTGTGTAATGGAGGTGTAGAGAGAACAACAACCTTTTTGGCTTTATCAGAAGTTTCTTCCTAAAGAAATCTTATCTTGAAAAGATTTAGAAAAACAAACAAACAAAACTGCCAAACCAAAATCGCATCAAACCACAAAACAAGAGAGTTGCAAGAAGCACAGGGGAAAAACACTTGAAAGAGGTGGGAGGAAGGCTTTTGGACAGGAGTTAATGAACCATGGTTATTTCTGGAAGAAGGTGATAGAATGGACAGACTGGTGAGAACTGAGGGAGGCAGCAAAAATGTGAGGAAGTTAGTGATGGTGCTTTCCTCAGTTCTATCATAGAGCTGTAGAAAAGATATCTGTTTTCAGGACCACGCTTGAGTAACATTTATCAGCATAATTACCATCTACTGTAATGCAGACCCAACTGTACTTATGTATCATTTTCTTTTGAAAATGTACTTTCATTTTTCTACTTAAATCATATTGAAGCTGCTAGACTAGGGTGCAGCAGTTTGGAAGCTAGCAGGCTGTTTTGTATGAAGTCATACCATCTGCATGATATGACTTCTTTTGATGTGAAGTCATTTCACTGGATTGTCACCTAACATCTGATTTTGATAATTGAACGTGTACATCTGTCCTATCTGGGAGGAATCTAATTCATGACTAAATTGGAATGCAGTAGTTTCTCACAACTATTGATTGTTTTCCTCTATGTAAGCGCTTAAAACTTTTTGCTTTACTTCTCAGGCTTGATGCGCTCCCGTGTGAGAGGGGCAGATGCAGCACAAGCAAAGGTGCTGACCTTCCTGGATAGTCACTGTGAATGCAATGAGCACTTGAAAGAGTGGCTGAGGTTAGTAAAGAGTTCTCCTAAAGCAATTTCCTGAAGGAGTAGCTTTTAAATTTTAAAGCCATCTGGTTTATACTATATTAATTTTATGCATTTTTCTAAGGAACCTTTTTCTCTGAAATGAGGTGGAGGAGATGAATCGGAGTGTTCCGTGATTAAAACACACTTCTTGTTCACTTAATCTGTGAACACAGGAACATAAAATGTGAATATTTATTATCTTTACAAGCAATTCAAATATATGCTTCTTTGGTTCTTCAGGGACCTCCTCAGTAAGTGCTGAAAATCTTTCGAGCAAAGTATAGTTCTCCTCAAACAATATCATCTTAATGTAATTCAGTTTACCTGAGTATTTATGCCTCATTAACATTCACTGTGATAATAGGAAAGGTTGAGCTGTGAAACCAAAATTCTCATGGAAATTAGTAGGGTCTGTTGGCTCTCGGTTTCTATGAAAATGATGCTTAGTCTGTGTCCCGGAAAAGCAATTTAGAGGATTGAGAGTGAAAGTATACTGTTTTCTCCAGGGCTTGGTTATACTTGTTAACTTGCTCTGGAGGAACTCAGCTGAAGTGGAAAGTTGATCGAGTGTGATCCCACAAAGCACTGGGGAACACTCAAGAGAACAGGAGTTTTCTTCTTAATTGCATTTCCTTCCTGGTAAACTCCCCTTCTTGTAAAGCCTTTCTTCCAAAATTCTTCTGGTCAAAATGGTTTTGCTAAGACGCCCGGTTGTATTAATGCCTGGTTCTTTGCTTGTCCTCTCCCTTTTCATTTCCAAAAAAGGGAGGTGTGTGTAATGTGAGGAAGTAAAACCTGTATACTCAATATGCCAATGGAGAAGCTATCAACTGATGACTGATCATTATTCTGTTTAGTTCCATTATGGTTGACTTTGTATTCCAGAAATACTGTAAATTCTCTAAGATATGTCAGCAGCTAAAATCCTGTTCTGAAGTAGAAATAACAAACCTGGACACCATTAAAACTCCTAGAGCCTACAAAGCCCTTGAGCATGAGTAACATAGCACTTCCTTATATTTTTGTATCCATGCAAAGTGTTGTAGCCTTAGAAGGGTTGGGTGAATTTCTCTATAATTATGAACTAGGAAAATAAATGTGAAGGCATTAAATTAATTTCAGAAGCAGCTAGAGAGTTCTTACAGCTAAAGCACTAGTGGATTCTAGGATGTGGAACTCTTTTTCAAGCCTTTTTGTGTAAATGGTTTGAAACATCTACATGTTTGAGAAATCAGAAGAGAAATGGAAGTTTTGGTTAACAAAACCCTGCTTTTAGTAAGACAGCTGTTTTACCACTTACCCTTTTTTCTTGTCTCTGACTCTTTTCAGGACATACTCATTTAGCTTTCAAAAACTGATATGGGAAATGAAACAGTGTTACCTTTTCATCATAACAGAACGTAAAACCTCTTATTTAATTGCTGACAGTTATGCCAAGATCCAGCATTACATGTGGTATACTTGGTGGAAGAAACTGATACATATTTTGCTTTGTACAACAGTCATTTTTTAGCAGCACATGAATTATTAGATCCATCAAAACTTGCTCCTTATAATTGTCACTGTGATACACACTAATCATGTGTGCCATGGAATAATTTTCAGCTGTTATGGTTTTCCATTCTTACAAGCTTGATGTACTGCTAAATAAATATTTGATGTGGAATTCCAGTTTACTTTCATCTAGGAAGATTCCTAACCAGCAGGTGTGGGGTTTGATAAAGTAGCATCTAAGCTTTCTGCTTGTTCAAATAATTAAAGCATGGATAATATTTACATATGATAGTTCTTTGTTATTTTAAATGGCTTTATATTGCTCACAGTACAGATGGTATGTTAATTGATGTTAATTGGCAGCATTTTCTTGATAGTGTCAGTGACAAGGAGCTGAATAGACATGAACTTGTATCTGCTCTGGTCTCAAAGGTAACTTTTTCAGGTGAAGCCTACTAAGCATTAATACAGTATTTTCTGATGTACTGCTGCATCTATTCTATATGTGGTAGAAAGTGTGTGGGTTTTCTTTTTCCTTTCCATTCCAGAACTGCCCACTTGGCATTTAATTCTATTGGACTTTTTGTGGATTATTTGTGTGTGTTCCAACATAAAAACTTATAGCTTTCAAGAAATGGTCTGAATTGAATCAATTCTACAATACACTATCTGATGTGCTGTAACCACTTTAGAAAGCTGTGTCTCTGGCATCTTACTCAGGACACATCAAGCTCTCCCGTTCAACTGAAGGGTGATCTGTGCCACAGCTTTCTTTGAGATGATTTCCTTGTCAGTGCATCTTTGTATGTCAGCCAGGCTTCCTGAGCGTTGCTAGGGGGCTCTAGTGCTGCTAGGGATTTTTCGTCAGGAGTTTGAGCAAAGGCTTAAATCAGAAACAACATACATACAAAGTAACTTTTATTGTTCAGAACATGCACAGATAGTTGTGTAACCGGGAGCTGGTATATCATCTCCTTCTTTGCCCTCTCCTGGAGAAAGGTTTTCTGCCCAATTCCCTAAGTCTACCTTACCTGTCCTCTCAGGACTTGTTTTTCTTTGTGTGTGCAGTGCATTCAAGGAGCACGTGGAGCTTAACCCTTTGGTACCCCTAAAATGTCAATATAGTAATGGGTACACAACCTTGAAAACATTGGTAACTACCAGCTATTTCATGAACACTTGTCTACTTGCCTTTTTCTGTTTCCATTTTCTAATTGCTTTGATGTTCTATAATACATTTCTCAATTATATGAGAAAAATAAAACTTGAAAGATTCCGGTGCAGAACGGAACTAATCTGTTTTCATAGCATAGCTGTAAATCCTATATCACTTTTAGGAAAGTATTTTAAACAAAGAAAATCTGAAAAGGAAGAAAGAACTAAGATTAAAAAATGAGATGTGGATTTTTTTTCATATGTCTCAGAGTTTTGTGACCTTGAATGAGTCAACTTTTAACTGGCATGATGCTGAAAAGAAAATATTCCTCTTAAGACTGTTGTGAAGCTTAATCTTTAAAGTGTCTTGAGATTTTTAGAGAAATGAGAAGCAGTGTTTGCCAAATCTTGAGGATAATTTTTGATGCTTTATGAGAATAATATATAATAGCCTAACTCTCTAGAGCATGTATAACTTCCTTAAGAAATCTTAAGAAGAAAGAGTCTGCTACAAATTCCCAGGCACTAGATACTTGCAGTATTCACAGGCCATTTCTTTCCATTATCCTCACCAATAAGCACATGGTTTTCCAATTGTGTGCTCCATTATAAGCTACAGTGTCAACCCTTCAGGAAGACTTCTACTTCAATGCCATTATGGATAAATAAGTATCTTGCTGTAGGATAATTTAGAGGGAGCAACTGTTTTTTAGTGTTCTAAGTGAATGAAAACCTTGTACTTTGGAGACCCACAAGCTCTTTTTAGCACTCTGCATTAACAACTTTGTAATGCCCTGCAAAGCATTCACCTTAGGAATGTTCAAGTCTCTTGCCTGCTTTGCTGCTGAGCGAATCTATAATTTCAAATCATGGAAGGAACAGCATGTTTCCAGGCCAGCAAAATGGAGGTTGTATTTGTCTGTCAGAGGAACAGCTGTAAACTATTTAAATAGTATGTTAGGTGTAGCAAGTGGTGTTGCACTGATATTGATAGAACTATTCAGACCAGCAGTAAAAGCCTGTTAAAATCCAAAATACATAGAGATAGTGCTACCTGTCTACTCAGCACAGTGGAGGGAAGTTTGAGCCTAACTGAAGCTCTGCCTAGCGCGATAACTGATAACATGGGCAACTTTTACTGCCAGGTTCAACTGTGTCAAGTGGAACCATTTGCAAAAACACAAGTTTTTGTCAGGAAAAGTTTTTGGAGATGAGCATAGATGTATAATCTGTCTCAGTTTCAGCTAAGGAAAGATGGAGAAAAAAGGAAGGGTGGTTTCATTTTTCTATTTCATGCTGATGGGTGTATTGTGAATACAGATAAGCTTTATCTTCTGCCTCAACAGTCTTTAAAGGAGTTTTCTGATTCTGTCACTGTGTATAGAATGCCTAAAATAAGATCTTGGTTGCACCTGAAATGCTTTAGTGATATATGAAGGCACACGATGTTATGCAGTGAAGGTGTGCAGTAAATTGTAATTGCTTCCCAAGTACAACACAGCAAAAGTGTATGCTTGCAGTTGCAAACGTGGACTTGGGCTGCAGCTAACAGAAATAGGAGCTAAAGATGTGATCAATGGGAGAATAGGATAGGTTGGTCTTTTTTGTCTGTTCCTAGTTCGCTTTAGACCTACCTAATTAATACTTAGTAGCAGACCTGATGTTATACGTCCCTCATAAAAGCGGATATTTGGCCTGGGAAGTATAGCTGCAGTGATGCTGAAAAGGAATATAGAAATCAATAATGAGTTTTCAGCTTTTAGCTTAGTCTTCAGCTTGAATCCTCTTGGGTTCACTTGAATTCTCCTTTTGGCTGATACAGAAGTTAGTGACCTTTTTCTCACTAAGGCAGAATGACCTAGTAAATGCCAACTGTGTCATAAGGGGTTATTAAAATCAGCACTGATTGAGTAGTTAGGGTTCAATAAATTATATCGTGAGTCTAATGTTTTTATTGGACCAAGCAAAGTGTTTGACTAAGAGTTGCTTTTAAGGCTCTTGTTACGAGCTCAAGCTGTTCTCATGTTACCTTGATACTGATCTGTATAATACTGAGCAGCAAGGGGGATGCATTGCTGAACCACTGTTTAGAACATATGTCTTGTTGCTTGCAGACATAAAATAAATTCTTAAAACGGGGATGTTTGGGCCGTTGTGTTTTGGTGTTGTTTTTTTGGTTGGTTGTTTTTTTTTTTTTTAACTATGAGAACCATTTCTCTGTAACAGTTACCAAAATATCTCCTGTTGGTTCAAAACTTTTTTTTTGTGTTTACAGATGTGGTGATAGGTGGTTCTGAAGTTCTGTGCTCCCTGACTGATGTTAAATTGTGGAGCTCAAACTTTTATTTTGAACTCAAGTGTTCCATCAAACTACCATTAGAAGTTATGCTTCAGTGTTTAAATGTAACTTCCCCCTCCCACACCCACCAGCAGGTCATGGAGACAAACTGGCTTAATCATGCTACTGCATTTCTAATATTAGATGAGTCTTTTATTAGAGTACTGATGTCTTGTGATCCTACTGGATGATACATGTGGAGTTGTTAAAAAGATTTTTATTTTTTCTTAAACTGTTTTGACAAAAAGATTAGCTAAGGTAATTAATGTTGCTCAGGTAGTGTACAAGACCATGGCTGGACAGAGGACTGTGCTATCTATACCACTTGGAATCTTGGCTGCTGGAAATTAATAGCATTCATTAGTTTGAGGTGGTTTTAGGTTCTTTGCTATTTAAGTTTCTGACTGTGAAGTGTGATTCTTCTAGAGTGAAATGAGTTGGCTTTAACCTAAGACTTTTCTGCTTGCAGAAGGGCCTAAGTGTGTCATAAAGGTTGAAATAAGACTGTAGTAACACTGTATGGCTAGAGATCTGCTGTGGAAAATATGAATTGCCTGGATGCTGCTTTTCTTTGAGATCATTCTAAAATTAAGAATGGAAGTGCTGTTTGCTTGACTGCTTTTAGAACTACAAGTTCTTTGGCTCCTTCAAGAGCAAGTCAAAAAAGGGGGATTACTTGCATGTAAGTAGCCTAGAAGGAAAAGAGGATCCCTAGCTCTCTGGTGTGGTTTCTGCTTCCTGAAGCAGTGCTGAGCAATGCTATTCAGAGCCATAAGTTGAAGTAGGGGGAGAAGCTGGGGGAGATGTGCTAATGAAATCCTGCTCAAATGTTCAACATCTCATCCTGCCTGAATCTTTATATATTGATTTCATTATTTCAATATTACTTTCTAATATTTATTTTAGGACAAGACCAGAGTTGTGTCTCCTATTATTGATGTAATTAATATGGACAACTTCCAGTACGTGGGGGCGTCAGCTGATTTAAAAGGCGGTATGTACCTGTACTGGAATACAGATTTAAAATTAAAAGCAAAGGCATCAAGAATCAAAGCTCATAATCACTGCAGTTGTGGAATGGGCAGTTAACATGCTGTTTTTCCCTTTCATGTATCTAGTTTTAAGTTATGTAGGTTGTTTGTTTCTAGGCTTGGATTTTAATTTGCCTTACTGTTTTCTGCTTTAAAGCAGTTCACCTTTATTATACTAATTCTTTTATGTTTATGCTGCCTTTTACCAATGTGCAGGATTCACTCCAATGTTTGTAGGACTGTGTAAATGCATCAGAAATGGCCTATAGCCAGAGCTAATGCTTCTCGTCTTAGATAAGGCAGGCTTTAATTGCTCACTAGCTTAGAAAGCCCATAAGTAATGCAGTGCCTATGAGGTTTTTTCAAGATGCTGGTTTGCTTAAAAAAATTAAACTCCTCTGAATAAGCAGAAAGCTTTGGAATGGTTTAAAAAAATAAGTGTTCTTGTTAGCCATGATACATAGTTGTGAAGAATAATGTAACCATGAAAATTTGTAGTGTTTATACCTTTACTGTTACAAAATTTCCTGTAAAATAAGTTTGTTACAGTTTCACTATGTCTAGCTAGTGTAAATTTTTGACAGCAAATAGTAAAAAGACTCATGAAGCCCTCAGTAAAAATAAATAAATAAAAGTCCTCCTCTCTCTTTTTCCAAAGAGGGGGAAGGCAACCATACACTAAAATCTTTACTCATTACAAGTTTTAAAAACTTCCTTCACTGTTAGCAAGAATCTAGCATTTAAAGTAGCTCTTCTATGCCCACTCTCTGTTTGGTTGTGTTATTTTTGTTTGTTTGTTTGTTTTTGTTTGTTTCTTTAATAATTGTTCCCACAACCCTGGAAAGTGTCTGTATAAAGATTCAAGATGAGCCACATATGCAGTAATGTTTCCACAGTGTTTCAGCTTTTATGAATGGGATTTGAGTGTGGAAGGAAAAAACAGTTTCAAGCCTGTTCTTTGTTACTGCTGTCTAACTGGCCATTAAGCATTATTCCAGTAAATTATAATAAAAGCAATATTTGCATAATGTTGCATGTATTTCAAGTTCATCAGTGATCTGGAGGTGAGAGGTTCTATATCCTTTTAATTAACACTTTGAAATAACACCTGCAGTGCATACATTCACAATATGCTAATGTATGGTCCTGTGCTATTATCTGTGTGACAGCTTTATTGAAACCTTAAGGCTTTTTACTCAATCTATTCATTATACCTCGAGTATAGAAATCTCTATACCATTGTGTGGCTTTTGTCTGCAGTGGGAGGAGAAATTCTTTCAATGACACCTTCGATTGGTTCCTGTGGGGTTCATGCTCTTTAATTCTTCCCAAGTGAAGTGGGAGAAGGCATGTTACTGCTTTTCATACTTCGTCTTTGGAACTCTTTCCCAATTTTTTTTTCTTTTTCTTTTTTTTTTAACTTTTTTGTGCTCATTTTCTCCCCTTGTACAAAATGAATAGTTTGGTGTTGTGCTTTTTTGACTTTTTATTTTTAAGTATGTGGAGCCTCTGTATTTCTGGACTGAGGAGTGAGAAGCTGTCTTTTTTTAATGTTAACAATAGAAATTTTGCACATACCAGTGTTTAAAGCTATTTGTGGGTCTGTTGAAACATGAATGATATATTTCTTTTCAGTTCCCAGAGGACAGTTTACCATGTTAGAGGCACTACAGCATTTGGCATCATGGGACACTTTCACTGGGGCCAAGTCTAAACGTGGAAACCAAACTATGCTTTCAACCTTAGATACAGTATCTGTGTGACTGAAGCATGGAGACTTGAGACAGCTGGGACAGCATTTGTGCCTGGTCTGTTTTGAAAGGACTTAATCACCCAAGACAAGCAACCCAGCAAATGCTACAAACTTTTTAAAGCAGATAGGGCTGAAATAATTCTCAAGTCTGGCCAATACTAAATCCATGCACTTCATGTTACAAATGTTTTTGTTGAGAGGGGATTTGCAAAAGTGTTTATGCCACCCTGAGAAACACTTTAATTATTGGAATGATTGTAATTAACTGACATCTAATAATTTAGAGTATGCCTACGATGCAGTTTACACTAGATAGAATTTCATATTGGATATGCACTTGTGTTTAAAAATACTCCTTTCACAGAGGTACTGATATTACCTCATTGAGTGCAGATTTTTCCCAGACTCAGTGAAAATGGAGATGTAAAACCATTTTTTTTTACAGGTAGATGATTTATACACTTGTTCAGAGTGTGTAGCAGAGTGCTGTGTTCCACAAGAGACCCCTTGTGTTCACTGGAGTATACGTAACTCTATCTCTGCTGCTGCTGCTGGAGAACAGTCCTTTTTCTTTTTTAAAGTTCTCCCAGATGCAAGTAATTTTGCTGGGTATGTTATGACGAAATGCGACTTTTAACTGCATGGAAATATTTGAACTCATTTTACTTTTCATGCTGGAGGCTTTGCAGTACTATCGATTGTAAGCATTTTACTCGTTTCCTACTTGGAGTTCTGGAGCAGTTAGAGCATCTTTCATTTTTACAGTGCAATAATTCACGTAGTATTCAGACATGGAGAGAAAGAGTTGGCATGCGTGCTATAAAGACTGGCAGGATAATTTCTGTATTGTCTGTCTGTGTGATAAGTATCTTGCGAGTTAAAATGAAAACTGTTTAGTTTTCAACTCTCCACATCATGCATTACTGTGCACGCTTAAAAGATGCAGACAGACAGTTTGTAGGACTGTAATTGTTCAGTTTACTGTAGCCCTGTCCCCATCTCCCCATAAAGTAATTGCTTTATCTTTTATGCTGGAGAAAGAAAACTATCTGTGCACCAGATATCTGGAAATCATTCATTACGTGACCTCAGAGGATCTAAATGTTTTTGGCAGCTGGAAACTGTATAAGGCTGATTTGCTAGGTTTACTGGGAGAGGGCTATGGACCTCATGTATTTTTTTTTTTTTTATAGATATTCATGGTTGTGGGAATAACCCAGCTCAAAAATGAAAATGTTTCCTATAGGAAGTTTGTCTTACACCAGCTGTGTGTCGTTGCCGAAAGGTGGTAATTCAAATGGTTGTCAGGTAGAAAGCTGCTGTAGGTGACCTATTGATCTTGTCTGTTCTAGTGATCTTTATGTGCTTCTGTGCTAAACTCACTAAAGGACCAGACCAGCTGTTGCTGTGTTTACACATATATATGGGAGCTACATAACCTGTTGTGACCTTCATGACACAGAGCTCCTGCTGATAAAGGAGTCCCAAGAGTACTGCGTAGAGTCTGTGTAAACATAAATAGGTGATCTTTTGGTAAGAGCTGAAATGCAATTGTACATTAAAAACTGTTGGGAGCATTTTTTAATGGCTGGAAGATCTTCATATGATGTTCTATTTGATGTAAGAATAAGGCACATTGGATTCATCTGTAAGGCTTTTGCTTTGTTGCTTGTTGGCTGGGTTTCTTACTTTCTGTTACAGATGGCAACAAGAGAAATCAAAATTATTTTGTATTTGAAATTACTTTTCTTTTGTCACGTCAACTTCTTTTCCTTTCATCTAGACTCCTACTTTGTTTCCTACCCTGAAGTTTGTACAAAGTTAAATTTTTAATTTAAATTACAGTTCCCAGTGTTTTCAGTCAACATTGTTACTACAACTTGATCATGACAACAGTCTTTTTAACATCCTACTCTAATATTTTCTTCTTGAAGGCTTTGATTGGAACCTGGTCTTCAAATGGGATTACATGACACCAGAGCAAAGAAGAGCACGACAGGGAAATCCTGTTGCTCCCATAAAGTATGTCTGTACCGCTATCTAATAGATTGTAGTTTGCAATTAAACAAAGTTAAAAAGCATCTTCTCTGAGTCTGCAAAGGGATCTTTATAATACCTTTCATTAATATGGAAATTTAATTCATATTTATGTAGCATTATGAAAGCCTCAGAAATAAATTGTATTTAAAAAAAAAATCTTTTAAAGCACACTAAATTAATTACCCATAACAAAAAGTAGATGTCATTTGGTGTAAAGTGGGTATGTTTTGAGGGGTAAAAATACAGCATCACTTTTAACGTTTTATTGCTGACACAAATAACCACCCTTGACATGAGGAATTTATGACCCAAATGAAGATTTGGAAACTTAGAAGGTGGTCATAGCACTATGTATGCCATAGTGTGCAGACAACATTTGAAGTGATAGATGCAAAATTAGTTGCATCCAAAAACATTGCAAAATTTTTGAAGGAGGTATTAACCTTGAGATACAAATATTAGTTCCCTTCCAGTTCATGATTCTGTATTTAATTTATTTTTTCTTGTCTGTTTAGGACACCTATGATAGCTGGTGGATTATTTGTGATGGACAAATCCTATTTTGAAGAACTAGGGAAGTATGACATGATGATGGACGTTTGGGGTGGAGAAAATCTAGGTATGTATACTAATTACCTTTGGATCAATCTTGAAAGAAAGCATGTTTCATCATTGCCTTTACTGTCACAGTCATGAACTTCCTGATTTTGTGGAAACGAGGATTAAAACCAGAGTTGAAACTTCACATTCATTATTGGCAAAATCTAAAAAGTTTATTTTAATGAAAGAAAACAGGGTAGGAATTATATGCTAAATATTAGAGAATAAGAATATTCATAAACATATAAACAGAATTTTTTTGTGACAAAAGTTGGCTGATTAAAAAAAAATACAGGATGTAGATAGGCAATTACTTTCAAAAATGCTGTCTTGTTTGAAAGTCACATCCTCATCTGAAGTTACTGATTAAAATGCTATAATGTTTAAATGCTGGCAATTTAAGGTATATTTTAAGGAGCTGCTGAAATTTAATTGTGAAAAGTGGAACACAAGAGTTCATTACCTTAATGTTCTTACATGCATCTTAAATCAATTAAAACTTAGCAGACTGAAGAATAAACTATTTTATAACTTTAAGAGTGCTATATTGCTTTGTGTTTAAATTTAGTGAGTTTAGCCATAAGAGACAATTATGGTTGAGAAAGCATTTTTGCTATAATTGCTTATTTTCAGATGTTTAAGCGAGTGGGGTTTAGGGAAGAGGGAGGAGGGACTGAGACAACTTGTGCTTTAGCCATTTCTTCCTTGACCTGGTAGTTAGATCTGACTTTATTAGGATGTTTTGGCTCTTTGCATTACAGTATTGTACTAAGTTTCTCTCCAGTTAAGACCACTATACTTGTATTAAAAGAAGAAAAAAGTTGTGGAAGGAGCAGAAGTCTACAACTTCTCAAAACTTCCAGTCTGGATGAATTCTGTATTTTAGGGTAGGGATCCGTCTCGGACATTCTGAGTAGCATGTTTTAGGACTGGTTCTAAGGACAGAAACTTCACTACAGTACATGCTAGCTGCAAAATACCTTGAACTTGTGAAAACACATAAGTGTTTTGAATTACTGAAATACACATATGGAAAATGCTGTATACAGCCCACTAAGTACAGAGACATGATAATCAAATGTTCAACATTCCTGTAAGGAAGTTCAAGATGGGAAGAGTCATCCTTACAGTCAGTCTCTGACCTTTGTATGCAGTACTCAAAAAGCCTCTTATGTATTTTGAAGAATTACTTTCTGTGTTTCTGTTTTCTCACTATTCTATCTATATGTTGCTAAATTGTATTAATATCAATATTGTAATTTTTCATTTTTTAAATGTCCTGGAAAGTAATTGGATAAACTTACTACAGCAATACTCGCATTCACACTGAAAACCTTGTGCTGTAGTGCCACTAGAGCACTTAAATGTTTAACTGCAAGCATGTACTTGAGCAACCAAGTAGCAGCTGCTTTCATGCTTTGTGAATTGAGGTAGTAGGAAAGGGCACGAGCAAAAGTTGAGAAGACTGAGTGCAAAAAGGTGTTTATGTTGCTCCTTCTGTATTCTGTTCCCCCTCCTCCATCTCTTCCTTCCCATGAAGACTTTGGGGTGCTGTTTCTCTGCTCCTTGAAAAGGCAAAGTCAGTCAGTACAGCAGACAGCTGATGATTTGTTCATAACTGACAGGCTAACTGAAGACGAGTAAAAATCACATGGTGTATGATTTAATTGGCAATAAATGACACATGCACCAGATCCTGGAAATCTGTGAAGCACAGTCATCAGGCCTCTTCACTCTCCAGCGTGTCTCTGGATCAGTGGCTTCATGTTATATACAATTACCCTTCTAGATGGACTTCAAAATACATTATACTTATTCTTTATAGAAACTTAGCATTTTTCCTTAAAGTGTGTACAAAGCAGCTGTTATGAGATTTAGTTCACATGTTGGTATAGTCTCAACTATAAAAATTTCATAATGAGCCTGCAGTATTTTGCCTAAATTAGCCATAAGGCAGCTCGTATCATGAAGATGTGGCACATTTTCAGATTGTTGCTTAATGTGACTGATAATACATGCTTGCTGTACGAAAAACATATGGATCAGGGTTTATTCAGCCTTGTCTTGAATTAATAAACTCTAATTTTCAGACTTTTTATAATGCTTTTTGATAAGCATAGGAGGATTGGAGTATGCTGGAGAACTGGGTGGACTATTAGAAGGTTTGGCTCTAATTTGAATACCTAGGCTTTTCTTAATTTTGTTAAAATTGGGAGCGAATAAGACATGCCCTGTCTTCTATATCAATGATACATTACAATAAAAAGAGCAAATCTGTTATTGAGAGTTGTAACATCATCTCATGCAACTGTAGAATGTTTGACTGCTGTTTATACCTTTTTAAAGAAAATTGTGTCCACTGAAATTGTTACAATAGTAGCATTTCTTCTCACACTTGAGTATGGGGAAAAAAAATGTCTGAAGGGAGTTTGTGGGGGTTTTCTGAGTTTTAGTTGCTGTACGTTCCTTTTTCTTTAAAAATCCACACAGGCTTCAGAAGCCTTGTTGGTGCAAATAAGAATTAGTTTCCTTCTTCTTGTTTATTAGTCCTTTGCTGTCTTTCTAGAGATATTTTTTATAATTTTCAAATTCTTTTTGAAATTCTTCAGAATATAAGGTGCTGGAAAGTATACATGTAGGTTTACGTTCCTGGGAATTTATGGAGAAAGAATTAATAAAATCAGTGTACATGGTAGAGGAAGCTATGAATAATGAAAGAAATTGACACATGTTATTCTAAATTCTAAACCAACTTTTTTCAATGCCTACATACATTCAACAGATGACAGTGACTTTTTGGAATAAACATCAAATGAATAATTTAAAGAGCAATCTGTAGGTGTACTACATTGACCTTTATTTTTAACCAGAATCTTATTTTACCTCATTTCAGAAGCCTGCCTTTCCTAACGCTTAAGTCTAATACTAGATTTTGAGCATTTAGTCTTCACTTTCTTGTCTCATGCAAAAGCCTTTATCTTTCATCAGATATCCCTGACTTCTATCACTAGGCTGTCCTCGCTGAGTGCAGCATCCCCTTACATTGGGCTAATAGCTGCATGAGCTTTATAGCAAATCTCCGTAAATAATACTGCGAAGTGGTACAAGAAAACTGCTACTCCTCTGCTTTCACAGCAGTATGGTACCAAATTTGAGCTATATATGGGAAAGCCTGAAGTCTTCTGTCTATGAGTAATTTATTCTGGTAGAAACACAGAAGTGCTTTTGTTACTAACTTGTTTAAGAGAAGCAGTGACCAGTTGTTTACTGTGATTCTTTTTTTTTTTTTTCTCATTCTAAGCTCAAAATAAGAGGTGTAAGACTGAAGTCAGTGCTGTGAAAAATGTACGGAGAGAATGATATGTTCAGTTGCTTTAGAAATTACTTTTGCCTATTGTCCCATGTTAATTCAACTGGAAAATCAAGACTGTAAGTTACTGGCAAAGACAATATTGTCAATATTTTTGGAGGATGATCTGCTTATAGATTGGGCTATACTGACTATTTAGGATTCATGAATATGCCTAATTGGCCCTGATGCAACAGAAATTATCACAGAAGTAGAACAAATAGGAAATGATCCTTGTGAAAGCAAGGACTATTCAGGAAAAAGGCTGTTAACTTGCACTTCAACAGCTGAAATCACTGTACCTCTCTTTTTTTCCTTTTGCCTCTGGGTAGATCATCAAGAAGACATTTTCTCTAGCCTTTGGTATTTTTGTTGTTTTGGGGGTTTTTAATTTAATTTTTGAAATAATGCTACTTTTATTACTTATTCTGTGTATGTGGGAGGAAGGTTTCTGGGAAAGGAATGACAGTATAAATCATAAAAGGTAGACCCTGATTTTAAATTAGAGCTGCTTCTTATTATTTTTAATCTGTGGAAAGATACTGAATGATTGTGGAGAGGCTTGAAACTGAGTAGCTTTCAGTAACTGCTAGCAGCTGCTGGACTAAAGGGGGACTCATCAAAATTGAAAGTGTGCTACTGGAAGCATCCTTCTTACAGTACTCATTTGGAATGAATGAGGAAAAGTCCTCTGTCAGCACTAGTTGAGTACTTCTTGTCCAAGGTCTAAGCTGAGAAAGTTGTATATTTCTAGATCTTGTCCTCACTAGCTGGGTCAGCACATGAGTTTGCCTTAGAAGTGTACGATCTGTAACATTCAGTTTACAGAAGTTGCATCTTTATTCAGTCTGTCTTCAAATCAAGGTTGACTTGATATAACTCCTTTCATGGCCCGTGTTTGGGAATTTCTGCTTCCCAATAAGTTAACAGCTCGAATCTGTCAATTGTTTTATCACGCCTTAATTTTGTCCACTATGTTATTTCATCTTTGAAATATTTTATTAAATATTTCAAATTAATGATGTATATAAACTACATCATTAATTTAGCTGTTAAGTGTATCTGCTGTTGCTTACCTTTTAGACAAAGTACAATAACAGTACATATAGACTTCACTTTGGCGAATTGCAGTGTGGTTTATGAATTTGGGGACTGCTGGTAACCTCAGATGAGGGAAGGCATATGGTTTTGCTTCCAAGTTAATGTGATTATTTCTCCTAGGCTTGGAGAATAATAAATGCTCAGATATGCCTTTGTCTATCATAGAATTTCTCAGAAAACTTTCTTAGTGGTCTCGGCAATAATTGCTAAAGGCCTTTTCTGTAAATAGCATACTACAAAATTACAGTATTTTGTGATGTTGATCTTTGATTCATGTTTTTATTTCAGAGATATCATTCAGAGTTTGGCAGTGTGGTGGGAGCCTAGAAATCATCCCTTGCAGCAGAGTGGGTCACGTATTCCGCAAACAGCATCCTTACACCTTTCCTGGTGGGAGTGGTACCGTGTTTGCAAGGTAACCCTTAAGGCTTCAGCTGAATAGCCAAGTTTTTAATTTCTTCATACGATCAGCAGGTGGCAGTAAATTCATTTTAAGAATCTTTTATTGAGAAGTAATTACAATATAATCTAGCATGGAAAAATATTGACTAAAAAGAAATTAATGACTTTGAGGCAACTACACAGATTGAGAAAAGAACCTGAGGGTTGAAAAAGGGAAATTTCTAGTAGAAACAGCCTGAGAATCTAGAAAAGAAGGAAATGCTTAGCTTAGCATTTTATCACTTTTGAGAACTTCATGTTTGATTTTAAAGAAGGCTTTATTTTCAGAACGGTCTTGTAAATTTTGATTTCATAGAAACAGTTTCATCATTCATTAAGAGCCAGAATGCACTAAGTTATGAATGAATATGCTTTGCTTGCATTTTGTTAATACATGATCAGTATGTGATATGCAAATGATTATTTAAACTGACTCTGGTATTTGTGCCAGTCTGTTCGCAACTTCATCCTGTGTCAGATTTGTCTTTCCTATGCTATGCTTAAAAATGCTTTTCCTATAGACCTAAGGAACTGCAGTATTAAGGGCTTAGATAAATAGTCCTGTTAATTTTGCTGCTGTTACACAGCAGTAGCTCAAATGCTGAGCTATTACCTCGGTTTCTTTATAGAATGAGAATAGCAATTCTAATTCACGTTTGTAGTGTTTTTTTTAAATAATGTGGTTGAAGGTATTGCATGATTGTATGGTGGGCATTTTGAGCCAGGCCCTATCAGTTGTGGAAGCTGAAGAACCACTGTAGGTTTTGGTTTAGAGAAGTGGACTTGATGCTTGTGGGGGAATGAAGAAGTACAAATCCCAGCTAAAGGCTCTATCGGTTAAGAGCTGCAAGTGAAATTGTTTATCCTGGAAGGGATATGGAACCCAAACTCTCTGGAACATGAAGCAACACAGATGTACTTAAATTCTTAAGAATGCTCTAAACTGCAGATATATTTGGACTTGTTTCACCATAGATTGAGAAACCTTCTTAGGATGTAATTCTTGTCTTCCACACTGGTGTTATGCCACCAGTATGACTCTAATGAATTTAATAATCTACTAAAATAAAGTCACTGTCCTGTTTCTTCCAGTAGTTACAGTAGGGATTTTTCTGGTTCCCTATTCTTTGAGATCTGTATTTTATGCTGCTGTGAAAAATGAATAATAATACTCATGGGGGAAGAAAAAAATTGAGCAATGAAATGTCGTCTCTTCATGCATCTCTATTCCTGTGTTTATAGTGTGCATCAACAGGGTAGAAAGATGTACCAAATAATCTGTATTATGTAGCCGTAGGATGCAACTGTTTTAGTTTCACAAGTTTTAAAATGATATTGTCATAACAAGGAGCATGGTTAATAAAAATAAATATATAAATTGTGCAGTTTTCCAGCTCCTCTGTAGCTTTTTCATCTTCAGACTGTTGGCAAGATGCTGTTTCTTGTGATGTAAATAGGTACTTAAACATAGCCCAGCTGAAAAGTAGGAAAAAGGTGTGGCCATATGCATGCCAAGGATACAGCAGACATCAGAAATGCATCATGTTAGCAGGAGTTGAAGATTCTGCATTCATACTGGGGTTTAAGCTTTTTGTTGGAAAGTCAAACGATAATTGTGATTTGATCACTCAAATTTCCTGACAATTGCTACGATAGTTTTGTTTTTTTTTTTTTTTTAAAGTCTCGTTGTGTTTTCCAGTCATTTGTGTTCAAAATTACTTTGAAAAGACATCCCACAAGTACCTGAGTGGTGTGGACAGCTGAAGCCTGCAAACTAGTGTCTTGAATACTTGTATCCCTTTCCAGATCTACCTTTCTCTACAAATGGTTTATCACCTGTGTCCAGCTGTCTCAAGTTCTGAAATGACATTAAAATTCTTTCATTAGAACTATTTTTGAATTGACCTAGCAAAGTTGCAGATTGCTTAAAAGCAGGGTTGACAAGTTGCTGTATACTTGGTTTCCTCCTCAGTCAGCTTTCTTGGGTGTCAAACCAATGTAACAGTATGCCTTAAAATCAGTTTTAGCAATGAGAGAGTGAGAAACCTAAGGTAATAGGATATCCTTTTAATACAGGTTTTACCAGATATGTGTAGGACTATGATGCCAAAAAAAATCAGTGTGTGGAATCTGTGCTGGTCTTGCAGTCAAGATTTGTTAGCTTATGCCATTCTGTGTCCCTTGAGAATGCACCTTCTTCTGGAGTGCTCTCGGTAAGCATCCTGTATTGAGCTGAGTAGTCAGTATGCACTGCCTTTTGGCAAACCAAACTGATGATTCTGGGTGAGAGACTGGGAGTCCTGTTTCATGAGAAGGGAGACCACATCCTGGCTGTGTGGTGTGTGCGGATACAGCTTGTGTCTGGCGGGATTTGTTAGACCGATATGCGCTGCCCGAATGCACCACCTCAGGCAAGCCAATAGACCTTGCAGGCCCCAGTCTGCTCCATGGAGAGCTACCTCTCATCGCTCAGTGCTAGATTTCATTAGCTGTGGCTTGGCATGAAGTGCTGAGTGCACCCTACACTGCACTCCTCAGTACCCTACCTTCTCTGGGGCCTTAATAGTTTAGGCAGTTCTCAACATCTATGTAATTTCTGGTTTTGTGTTGCATTAAGCCCCAAACTGTTCAGGTTGTTCAGTCCCCTTTGCAAGGGGAAGTCAGTCGTCAAACAAAAAAAAAAGTGATAGAGGTCTGTCTTGAGACTTTTTTCTTCCCCACATCCTTCCTTCACAGCGACCTACAGGAAGAACTCACTTTATCCATTTTTTTTGTCTTTTGAATTGGAAAATCATATTAAAGAAGTTATTGGCTGACTGAGTTTACTCCAGTTGCTTTAGATGAACTTCCTGCCAAATGTAAAATAAGCTTCAGAGCATGGCAGTTTCAAGTGACATAAGAATTTTCTAAGCATAAAGTGATGAACAATAGAAGTAAATGAGTTTTACATGGAAGACAGGGATGGAAAAAGGCATTACCTTCTTGCACTCAAAAAGGAGATCAAAAGACACTAGTTACATAAATACAGGAATTTTAGTTAGAGATGTGTCTGATTAGAAGTAAAGAATTTGCATTACTGTTTTTCACATTTATTGCAATAATTAATCTCTCTTGAATTTTAAAGCATTAATGCAGACTTGCTTGGTTCATAGCCTAAAATGTCATAACAGCTTATGTTTCTTTGGAACTTGGAATGCTCTGGTGGTAGGAATAGGATGGAGACTGAAAATGTGTCTTCCCCAAGTTGTCATATCAGGAATATAAAAGACATTACTAAATATTGCCAGTTGTTGGGATTTTTATGTTTCCAATTAGCTTGCTTATCCAGGTGAACATTCACTGGATTTGGCTTCTGTTACATTACTCTTATAAAAAAAGGGAAAAAAACGCAACAACAACCACCTAACAACTTCCATGAAGATTGCAGAAAGAAGTTCAAGATATATATTAAATTCTAGCTGAAAATCTGAAGCAGTGATGAAGGTGGAAAAAACAAATGTCATTCTAAATGCATTGATTTCAATTATGTTACTCTCTAGTGGTTTTCTATTACTTGGATCTTTAATCGGAAATCTTCTGCCTGGCTTGAAGCACCTGACTATAGTACTAGGAAGGATTAAAATCAGTCCAAGCATAAATGACACAGAGAAAAAATAACCTGTGTGTTTTGTGTGATTGTCCCTAGAAATACACGCAGGGCAGCAGAAGTCTGGATGGATGAATACAAAAATTTCTATTATGCAGCAGTGCCTTCAGCCAGGAATGTACCTTATGGCAAGTAAGTCACAAGTGCTTCTTTGTCCTGTTCATCTCTTCTTCATAAGACAGCACCTTCTGAGGTGAAAGCAGTGCTAGCTCTCATGTGTTATCTCTTTAACATAGAGTTCCACTGTTCTGGAGTTTTTTATGTATTCTTTAACATATATGAAGATAGCAGCCTGACTTTGAAAACTGTTCCTTTTTTTTCCCCTCCAGTATTCAAAGCCGAATGGAACTCAGAAAGAGACTTAGCTGCAAGCCCTTCAAGTGGTATCTTGAAAATGTTTATCCTGAGTTACGGTGAGTTTTGGCTGAACCAGAGCTAGAATGGAGTTCTCTCTTTTTTCCCTCCTCAGAAATCATGAGTTTCTTTTTCTCCTTCTTTGAACGTAAAGGATATATTTTCATTTACTTGTGAAAGTCTGATGCAGGTGTATTTGCTTTTGGTTTTATTAGTTCTGTTCCTAAAGAGCCATTTTTCCCTAGTAAGTTGGTTGTTTTTGTTTTCCTTCTTACCACAACTTAAAGCAGCAGGTCCTTTTAGAGAACAGCGTCCAAAGGATTCAACTTATTTGAGCCTGAAGTTAGTCTCCCGCACAAGCCATTTGCTCAGAAGTGCACTGTTCCGTATTCTGCTGTCAACTCTTTTAAGCTTTTGCCTTTGCCTAAGCACATGCCCAGCTGTGTGGGGAGACTGAATTTTGGTGCAGTACAAGAGGAGTCAACAAGCAAGAGGCCTTGTATGCTTGGCAGGGTAGATGCCTAAGACTCTAAGGAGCTGCTGAGTCCTCTGCTCTTTCTGTCTCTTGTTCTCTGTCACTGGATAATCACTAACTTTTCATGAGGGTGAGAACAGGGAAACGAGAGGTAGCATTACTAACAGTTTCTGTGACACGAATGCATCCTAAGTAATGAAAAAATCCCCAAGAGGAGACACTTTTTGAAAGGATGAAAAGGTTTTTACTCAATAACCCATTAATAAGTATGTCTGTCATATCTGAGCCTCTAAACTAGTCTGTCTGCTGTCAACCTAATATTGGTAGTGTAATTGGTGAGATACTGTGTGGGGCTTATAAGAATACTTGTTTTTTCCTGGGGGTGCTTCATGTCAGTAGAGTCAGGTAACTGCTAGTGGCATGCAGGCTTGGAACACAGAAGCACCAGTCATTACAGCGCTAGTGAAACATGTACAGAATCACATATTCTAAAGAGCCTCATAAACCAGGATGATGCTGAGGAAGTAAGTTATTCTTTATTTTCTCTTAAAAGTGCCAGAAGATATTGTATTTTTTTCTGACAAAGAAAAATAATCTTGCAAGCTTTTCTGGAAAATATGATACCATAAGCATCGCTTCAGTGTAATGTTGTCTTACTCTGTGTCATCTCTCATGTGCTTATTCTGCTGGACTGAATTATTATGCTCATGTTATAGCCTGAAGTTTTAAAAGGAGGTAATATGCCCTTGCTTTACTGTTTGACAGTAACTCATAGACTCTACCCCACAACTGTACTTTATTGAACGGGGTTACATAGGTATTGCCATACTATATGACTGCACTTTATGTGCAACCATTAGAAAATAGATATCAGTAAAACATTGGGTTTTAGTCTTTTTTTTAAAAAATTCCTAACCCCTTTTATAACACTTCAGTAAAAACAGTCAGGGAAAATTGGAGAATGTCATACTTCTGCCACAAGCTGGCTTGGGTGAAAAAACAAGAGCTTGATGACCTTAACTGATACCATTAAGTTTCAGTGACCTTAAACTATGATGTTAAGTCATCTTTAATTTACTTGTTATGCTAAGTTTGTATTTTCATTCTCATTCTCTTGTACAAATCTTTTTGCACTCTGTCCAGAGCTTGCAAGTTTACTCATGTTTGATCAGTTCACAGTCGTGATGCCTTCTGTCCTTGGAAGATGACTGAGATTTCCAGATAGTAGTTATCACTTGTCTTTAACCTGTCATTGTAAGAACACTCCAACTAAAGACAAGGAGAGAAGAGAAAAAAAAAAAAAACAACAACACAAAAAAACAACAACAAAAAAAAAACCCCACAAAAAACCAACCAACCAACCAAAAACCCCTGAACTAAGTAGATATTTCTGGTTTTATTTTAGGGTACCTGATCATCAAGATATAGCTTTTGGGGCTTTGCAGCAGGGTACCAATTGCCTTGACACGTTGGGCCATTTTGCAGATGGTGTTGTTGGAGTTTATGAATGTCATAACGCCGGGGGAAACCAGGTCTGTATGCCTGTTTTTTTAATTCCCCCACAGTATGTGAATTTTTTTGTTTTTAAATGAAACTTTTTTACTCAAACAGGTACCGTGTACTGGTGTTAGGAAGATAAACCCAAATCAACAGATTGGTTATTATAGCAGATTGGCTAAATAACTTCTCCTCCAAATATAATTTTACATTTTCAGGATTAGAATCTGAGCCTAGAGATTCATTCAGTGTGCATCAGGTTATCCCCTTATTTTGTCTTCATTAATAGTTGTTTTTACACTAGAGGCCAGTACCTTCCTTCCCAGGAGGAAGCTTTACTGTGACGCCCCATTAGACATTTCCAGTTTGTAATACCAGGGTATAAGAACATCTGTCTTAAATCCCCGTTTGGCTCTTCTAGAAAACAGAATTACCTAAATGTCATATTCTATTCACTCACAATAAAGAGAGTGTTTCAACAAATCCTTTCTAATCCTAATCTACTTTTAAACTAATTGCAAATGTGTCAAATCTGCGAGAGCACTATTTCAAAGAATACATTTTTACAGTTGCGACTTCATTATCGTTCATTAAATATATGCATACATCCTCACTCTTTTGTGTGCTGCTTTGCCACAATTATTTTCATAATCAACCTGACTGTAAATCAAACGTGAAGTTAATACTTCAAATACATCTGTTAAAGCAGAAGGCTGACCAATGAAAAATCTCATGTTGAATGAGGATCAGACTTCTGCTCACTCTGATTTAAAATAGAAGGGGAAAATCCTAAAATTAAACAAAGACTAAAATAAAGAAGTTACTTCCTGGAAGATACATTGTGTTGGTTTGAATGCCTTGCCATCCTAGATCTGTGATATTCCTCTTTCCTGATCGTTAAAGAGAATATATCTGGGGGAGGCCTTCTGTTACCTTCTATTACCTGAAAGTACACTCCTCTTTTTAGAACATCATAGTGTGTTTTAGGAGGAAGAGTGAACATCTCAGAATTGCCTTGGTGCAGAAATCTGGGAAGTTTCTGGTGATGTTGTGTATTCTCTATAGACGCACAAAGTTTGAAAGTTCCTCTTTCAAACTCCCCTCCCACGAATCTGACCCTCTCTTCTGTGAATTTTCGTCTGCGAAGCTGGCACTGGCAAACCTATGTATCAATATACACACCAGCTCTGAACAGGTCCCTGTGAGAAGACATTCAGACAGATAACGAGGCAGAACTGGTCAAAAACAGGCTTTATGTCCAAGCAGAATTCTTAATGGATTGGAAGGAATGAACAGCCTAGGAGGAGAGGGATACAGGGATAGAAACAAAGTCTTTGAAGCTGTGTTATGTGTTGGACCTACTTTTATCAAGAGAGTTTAGGGGCAGTTGGGATTAGGAGTACTCAGTTACTATAGACTGTGGAGACTTTCTGTAATTTGAAGGTTATACTCTGGTATATGCTCAACTAAACTGAAAATGCAAAATTTAAGTCCAAATGTGATTGCCACCCCAGATGGGTAGAATTCAGTGACTTAAAAGCTAGGTGTCCACCTTTAAAGGGCTGAAGAATTTGTGGTGGTTTGACAATTATGTACAAATATGAAGGGTTATGATAAGAAGCTAAAGGTAAAGCCAAATGTACATTGGTGCAAGGGGAAGGTTTGAGCTTAGTGGTGTTCTGCTGATTTTATATTTCTAATTTGACATACGTTTTGTCAGGTGTCCTGGTTTTCAAATTGTTATGCAGAGCTAGCCTTTTTCAAGCTGTACACTGCTTGCAATTTTGCTTCTCTTCTGGTGTAGTGGAGCTTGCTTTATCTTATCTCTGTTATAGCTAGTGATAGCTCCTGATCACTGGAGGAAAGCATCTATACATGGGGTTTAGTACCATGAAGGTAGATGTCTCCATCAGCAGAGCTTGACGTGTTTGTGAAGCAGCACCTTTGGCTTTTAAATGTCTTAATTTCTTGCATGATTTCTGTTGTGTCTGGGGCTTTTGTAACCTTTTGATGGAAGGGTAAAGATGTGTAGAGCAGTATTTTGAAGGCTGTAATTTTCTCTGACTGCAGGATTCTGAATCACAAGTTTTACCACTTCACTGGTGGTATTTTCAATTCTCACTATTTAGTATAAAGCTTATATGGGGGCATTTGTGATTCCTGATAAGCTCTGAAAATAAGTTGCTTAATTCATTAAGTTATTAAAAGTGGCTATTAATTATTCTTGTTGACATCTTACAAACTGGACAGAACTGGGAAGACAAGTAATTTTGCTGTCCTCTGAGACTGACATATTGAGTGTGAAAGAAAAGGTTTTCAGCTTAAGGGTTTGGGACAAAATAAAGGGATACACAGAGTTCTTCTGCCTTTGGTTTGTTTTGCATAGTTGTTGTCATTCTAGTACTTGCATAACATGGTAATCATCTAATGGCTTGCTGCCTACATGGTGGCAGTTACTTGTAATCATGTATTAGAAATTCTGATTGTTTCTAGAGTATCTCTTCTCAAAGGAGCTTAATCATTGTTAAATCTGCTGAGTGATTATGCAAGCCAAAAATTCAGTTATGGTATCAGAAAATAAGTAAAAAAAAAAAAAAAAAAACCAAAAGGATGGTATTAATAATTTAGTTTTTCTGAAACACTAATTGCTTGCAAAATATTTAAATATAGCCAGGCTTGTGTATCTAGGGGTGTGTATTATAGAACTCTGGATCCTCTTTATTTGCTGGAGAAAAACTAATCATGCCATTAAAGTAGCAACAGGCATGATATGGGTAATTAGCATGGCTTTAGTTGATAGATGGCTTCCTTCATCAAAGGATAATTAGACAAATGAAGACTACTCTGGATCATGGAGAACAAACCTAGGGAAGAAAGGCATGGAGAGAGTCTGAACATCAGTGTGAGATCAGGCTCTTTGTAGAAGGATGCTGAGATCAAACAAGCTGGGCAGTAGTACATAGAGAACAGTTTTTCTTTGCACTGTATTGAAGAGTTGCATACTTAAATGCAGTTAAAGGAAGTTCTGTTGTACATCACACCTTGGATAGGATGTAACATTCTCCCTCTACCACTGAGTTTGGCCCTCATGCGTATTGTTTGCTGGTGGCCTCTGTCACATTAAGAACTAGTATTTCCTCACTGTAGTACATGCGCTTTGCTCAGTGGTGGGTAGGGGCCCAATGATGCTGAAGACCAAGCTTTTAGGTTTTATATTTGTATAATTGTATGGGGGGGTAGGCGGGGGTGGATGGGCTGGTGTTCGATACATATAAATCTCTCCTACAAAGAAGATTATGGGGAGTGTAATACACACATACACAAAGAGAGATACAAATAGAGCTGGGCAAGTGTTTGGACAAATACTTTACCCCTGAGGACCTGTTGTGACTGCCCGCTGTAGTTGTGTAAAGCCAGCAGAGGGAGCAGCAGCCAGCCCAGCCCTGAGCT